CCCAACAGGTCTTTGAGATAATTAGAACGTACACAGTGTGAGCCACACACGAGGAGAAAGGTCACACACATAGTACCTGTACTACGTCATCAGCCTCTTTCACTCCCTGTGGCACCGCTAGAGGTTTGAATGAAACATTATGCCTAATTAACAAACAATAGACGACGGGCCTAACCTTGCGTTGAGTATCTCGTCTGCTAGAGTTCATCCGTTCGCCCGCCCGCTCAATGAATAAAACTGTGGAGCGGACCAAAAACAAACAAACGAACTGTCCTGAAGTTTGCAGTCCGCTCGCATGGCCATCCGTTACCCGCTCGCTCTGACTGAGACTGAGCCCGCGAGTAACAAACCCGTCCGTCCGGTCGCCCCAACTGTACCCGACACACGCTAAGACAGGTGTGCGGCGTGCATGCTAATGACGCATGTGTTGGTATGACAGAAAAACGCTGATTGGTCTCATAAGATGTATCAACAATAGATTAAGTGAATAATGAGTCCACGATGCAGGTGCCATGGATGGTTTCAAGGAAAAGATAAGGTTCATAGCAGGAGGAAAATGACACAAGGAGTGAGGCCACGTCAGCGTGGACTGCTCACACTGGAAACGACTTCGTTGAGACCGATCTGGCAGTTTACGTGTTCGTTGAATCTGGGTTATGTTTTTATTGATTTGAATGAATGAAAAACAAACAAAAGGGGAATCCACCTCCTTTCGTTGAATCCCGAGTTCCATTGTTTGTAAGCCTTCATGAATCACGGTTACATTGCCCTTCCAAAACAAATGAAGACCTGTTGCAAAATAGGGATAGGCTTTCTGCTATTGCCATTCATAAAAGGCATAGAGCTACATTGTTGTAGAATTTCCAAGTGGAGATGATTATGTATTTAATGTATATATAAAATACATATACACACTTGTACATTGATTATATTATATTGAAAGATAGTCTTTCTGCATGTGCAGGTACCCATGTATTCCACTTGTCTTGGTGAAAGAGGCAGGCTGGGTCTATCAGTCCAAGCATCATGCTGTGTTTCCTACACTACATTTATCTCATCAGTAAGCCTGTCCCCGTAGGATTAGGCGATTGTGCGGCCGCGTTTTTTCGCGTAATTCTGCAAAATTTGCATAATTTTGGATTCCCCGCGTTTTTTTCACGGAAAACATGGAGAAATATTATAAAGGAAAGAACTAAAATACTAGAGAACAGCCTTAGAAACCACCAGGCTGAGAAGCGCCAACGACGAAAGGAAAACAGCGGAAATACAGAGCTTCAATCTATGACACTAACATGCAAGCACTGCAACAGAATCTGCGCTTCAAACATAGGAAGAATTAGCCATGAAAGAAGCTGCTTGAGGACAGCCTTGAGACCATCTTAAGCTAAATTGACCGTCTGCTTAGACGAAAAGAGCCATATATATATATATATATATTAATATTATTAATATTATGTGCACGCATGTATTTCATGAATAATATCATATGCAAGGCGCATAGAACAATGATTGTTTCACGGATTTGCGCTATAAGTCATATTATTTTTTTTTCTCTAGACCCAGTCCCTTTTCTTCTTTACTACAGGTCCCATTAGTCCCAAAGGTTAAGTTAAACTTCAGATTCAGCAGATGAGTTGAAGTTGATTTTTTTCTCTTCACTCCGAGCATCAACTGTTGATTCAACAAATCGACTTATCCGTGGACGACTGTGTTATATTTTGGTACTTAGTTATACCAGCTACACACCCTGTAACCTGTGTCAGAGGAGCCTCAGACACACTGAGGGAACAGCATTTCCAGTAAGGGCAATGCATAGACTTTGTTGGCCCACCAAGAAGAGCAAAATTGGCAGAGAACTGGGGGCGGAGCCTAAAGTGTTTGTCCAGACCCAAAGACCACTCAGGGGCGGAGCCTAAAGTGTTTGTCCAGACAGAAAGACCACTCAGGGGCGGAGCCTAAAGTGTTTGTCCAGACAGAAAGACCACTCAGGGGCGGAGCCTAAAGTGTTTGTCCAGACAGAAAGACCACTCAGGGGCGGAGCCTAAAGTGTTTGTCCAGACAGAAAGACCACTCAGGGGCGGAGCCTAAAGTGTTTGTCCAGACAGAAAGACCACTCAGGGGCGGTGCCTAAAGTGTTTGTCCAGACTGAAAGACCACTCAGGGGCGGAGCCTAAAGTGTTTGTCCAGACTGAAAGACCACTCAGGGGCGGAGCCTAAAGTGTTTGTCCAGACAGAAAGATCACTCATTTGCATGTGTTTTTCTTCCAAGTAATAATAATAATAAATAGCATAATTTGTATGGCGCTTATCCCCGCCCAGCAGCAGGCTCTATGCGCTTTACACTAAATTATTACCCCAGAAGACCATAGAACACTACGAAACATTTCCAGCTTCCTGGGAAGCATACAGTGCAAGCAGCCGATTAAGCGCTCAAACACTAACACAAACAAGATCTTTCGCTGTCTATAGCCGGGTACCCATTCCCACCTGGGTGAAGTGAGGAAAATTCGTGTAAAGTGCCTTTCCCAAGGACACAACGTCGGGCCCTTGACGGGATTCGAACCCATGACCATACGGTAATAAATAGTACACAACGCACTAGTTTCTAATCTAATTCTGGAGTAGTGTTAACTCTCTGGCTTTTTCCTCTCTATCCCAGTACACTATGACCATTATAGTCGTGACAGCTTTTCTGCCTGCCTGCAGAAGACATTCAAAAAACTGAAAAAAACAAAGTTTTGATCATTGTCCATATAACTCTTTCCATTGACACAGGATTATCAAGACAGTCATGACACAAAGAAACAAAATTTAGCAGGCATCCATCTAGGCAAAATACGACCCACAAATCAACCCAGCACATATGATTACATGCAATGATGAAATGTGGTCTGCAGTGAGTTTATAATTTAAATAATTATTAACAAAACCCAAAATGTCTGTCTTGAAAAACTTAAGTTAACTGGAAGCAATAGATCTAGTACTTATCTCATGAAATGCTCACGAGTGACATGCCACAGTGTCAGTTTTAAATTTCAAGAGCTTGGGTTTCAACCAACTTTCTTCCGCTTTAAACTACTAACATGTGAGATATTCAGAATTGCTTAATCTGGCCTACGACATGGATTTCCTTGCCCATGCGATTCACATGCAGCAGCAAAGACACCCAGGTTTTCTTATTATAAGCAGCCTATTCATCATAGCAAAAGAACTGCAACATAATAAGGTCATATAAGTGCCGAAGAATAGATACGCTACAAGAGAGTAACATACCCTAAAAATAAGGAGTGATAACGATGATAGATGTTTGATAGAAAAGAAGGCACAAATCACACCAGAGCACCCGCCAACCACACACTAACTGTTCTACTCTATCCTTTTCATCTAAAAAAATATAAAACATAACATAAACCATTGAATTATTCACAATTGTTTAATTTTTGCATGAGAACATTTTGCACATAAGTATTAAAAATTGTTCAAAAATAAGACAGCCAATGGACAATAAATAATGTAGACAACAACATGAGAATTTGAAACTGATGAAGGAAAATGGTTATTAATTTTAGAGTGATTAGACACACACACATCCCACATTCACTCATCATCATCAGCTGACTAAATGTGTCAACATTCTACACTCAGCTGGACATCATTATTAAAGAAGACTCAGGATAACAATTTTTATTACATGTACAGTAGCTTAAGTTTAGCTAAAATGATCAATTACGCAGAACTTCTAATTTTGCTCATTTTGGAGGACTAAGAAATAGCCGACATCAACAAAACTGTTGATCTATCCTGAGACAGGCAATTTTTCCAGCTCATTTGAGCGCACCAACAATTGATAAGTTTTACACGCAGATCGACACTATCCAAACATAAGGAGTCTGACTGCTTCAGCACAAACTGCCACGACCAACCCTCGCTGAAAGTGACACGACATTGCAGCCGAAACAGGAAGACACCCAGGGGAGGAGAAGAAGAAGGAAATTGTACCACACAGGAATGACATACTTACTGCATGCCACATGAAAGTCCTACCTGCTGCACCAGATGGCAGTGATATAACTAGATCTAGCCATACAGTTGTAACATAAAAGTACAATTGAATTAAGTGAACTTTGAGGAAATCTCACAAAACAAATGTTATGAAACGGATCTGACATTAGAGAAGTGTGCATTCGATTCCATTACTAAACATTCCCAATTTTTGCGATATTTACAGCTAATCAAAGCGTTACATTCGAATGACGTGTGAGTGTTTGTTCTTTTTCTAGGATAATGGATTTTCACCTTATTTTTCTGTCACAACCCGTAAAAGCAGAGCGTGCAATATTGAAACTACTCACTGAAGTAAATTCAACAATACATTACAGCTGATGATTAAATGGGACAGAAAGGTAAGTGGACCCAAATGGAGTTAACAAGCGTCCAAGAAGCACCAGTAACGCCATAAATAACACAGGGGACCATCACTTCAAAATGCACTGGAAGGTTTTGCGTAGGCTGACACCCTGAGAGCTCCCTCTATTCAAAATTCTAAGCGCAAGTCTATACGAGTAAAGAAAAGATCGATTTGAAGCCCACAAATAGTTTTGCGTAGGCTGGCATACTGGGTTCCCCATTCAAAATTCAAAGCATTAGGCTATAATATATGAATGTTGATGTGATGTCATTGAACCGCAGTGTGCTGTGCCGGGTTAGGGTACCTACAGTTGCGTTTTGAAAGACCCCCCCCACCCCACACACACCTCAGCCTGCCACCACTCGCTGGATCCGTTAGGCTTGAACATTGGGAGGGTAGGTCCAGAGTGGGGGAACTGCAGCGACCAATGAAATGAGAGATAATGAATAATATGAGCTGTGCTGGCCATGTGTCACCTCCATCCCCCTCAATCTCATTATCCCATCTTTCTTTGAAACAATGTTTCATCACCACACATGCTGTGCAAGCTGCGGTCGCGGCACTTGAAGAGGCAGACACACACACTGAGCTGAGAGACACTGGATGGATAGTGCCGTGAAGAGCAATTATTGACAATAGAATGCCGCTGACAGACTCAGGTATGCAAGAAAAAAACTTCGCACACGGTATTCAAATAGCATGAATGGTGAACCTGAGCGTCGAAGAATTTTTAAAACTAAAAATTCGCAAAACCTTATCTGACATTGGTATTGGTACAGTAATAACCTACTGCAGCTTGAAAGAATCCTCATCTAATCTTGAATAACCTTCGAGTTGGATCACAATTTTTTTTTTACACAACAATTACTGAATTAGGCACTAGTTTTCTCCCCGTTGGTCAAGTTAGGACTTCCTCAGCCCAAAAGCTCTTAATTATAATTTTTACTTTATCTCTCACTCAGCCTTACAACACAGACATTCTTAAAAAAAACCCACACCAACAAAACAACCCACCAGCCTCTTTAGATTTAGTTTTCACCAACGGCACTTGCAACACAAGCCTCTACAATGAATCCCAGTGACAAAAAGTACAAAAGCCATATCCATTAGATGTGATTTCATTTCACCAGGTTGGGAATCTTGACACAAAAGTGTAACTATGTTTATCATCCTTTCATCTTTCCTTCCACTCACAAGAACAAGCACACTTGTCCTTTCAACCTTAGCAAACTCAATCTGACATTCTCAAAAACAACTACGGCAGACACAAACTTGATGAATCCTCAGAATTATAATTATATCGAACATCACCATGAGGGTAAATATTTCCAGGATCTGCAAGAGGAACTTTTGACATCATCCGTTCTCTTTCTGCTCTTTCATATGCCAAGTCCTGGGCTATCCGTGCTTCAATTTCATCTGGTAACTTTGAAGGACCCTGAGCCTCTGCACAGGATGCCTCGTCTTCTTCCATTTTTTCTTCCTGCCCAGCCTCTTCTTTGGTGTCGTGCCATGGGATGGTGAAACGGGTGACCCTCACTTCTGATGAAAGAATGTTCCTCTGAAGCTGGGGGGAAAAACACACCATAAAAATTAACATAAAATACATATATATCAATAATTTCTTCAACAAAACAACAGTCAAACCTCGTTATATTGCCAGGTTATTACCACTGCACAAAAAGGAATGCCTATAATATAAACAAAGTAGTTGCTCCTTCACACCCCATCCGCCCACTGTTTGAGTCGTGCTGTTCTTATTAAACGAAAAAAAGAAAATAAATTTGCTTCCCTATACCACCAGCGAATTGACAATCATTCACACCCCATCCGCCCACTGTTTGAGTCGCGCTGTTCTTATTAAACGAAAAGAATTTGCTTCCCTATACCGCCAGCGAATTGACAGCTTGAAAATGCCATAATTTTTGGGTTTTGACTTACAGATCTATAATTTAAAATATATTCTTTAAAAGTGTGTGAGTGTGAAATGTTAAAGTTGTGTGGGGAAACTTCAAATGAACCACCAGATATAAGCCGCTGACCAAAAGGTTGGGAGGCGCCGTGAGGCCTTTACTGTGAGGACCCACACTCAAATATCTACCATGACAAATAGAGGACTGATGAAATTATTTGGATGACAAAAAAGAAAAACTGTCTAAAACTCTCGACGCATAACCTAGCTTTTTTCAATTCGAATTTATGTCAAGACGTACAGAATCTAGATGAGGCAAGACGGACCAGTTTGTCCCCAGTCTTTATCAGGTTACCGTTAGAGACCAATCGGTGCTATCCTGTTATACCGTTAACAGTATGCTCTTCCCAAGGTATAAAAAGGTTTGACTGTATCCTGGTTTAGGCTACTTGTAGCAGTTTTGGAACAAGTTATCGCTATTTTATAAGACACAAAAGGTTATTTTGAAGGAAGAGCCCCTGGTTTGTTTGTTTTAGTGAATAGTATAGATTCATATCAACATAAAAAAAGAGTCCTGTAACTAAGGCCAAGCCCAAGGGCCTAACAATGTAAACACACATCTTTTTCAACTTTCATAATTACAGGGTGGTGTAGAAAGAAATGAAAGACAAAAGAAATCGTTGGACAGAAACCAAGCTTGAATTGAAAGGTACGGTACACAGCTAAAGAACAGAGGAACAAAAAGAAACCCACACGGGCAGAAGTCGTATTGCAATAGACATGCCCTCAGATTTCTTTCTACCATGTCTAGTTTCAACACTAAAATTTTCAAGGAGAAAAGGACCATGGTTTATTTGTGCTACAGCCAAATGAATTACTTCACACATAATACAAAAGTTCAAAGACAGAACAATCAATGCTCGTCAGGAAACTGGATTGAGAGGAAAACATTTCTAAAACAAAAGGGACAAAAACAATTTAAGCCACAATTAAGAATCGAATCCAACAATTTGAGTTCACAAACAACTTTTCCACAGCAGTCAGTTGATAATCTTAAAGTTAAAACGGGTGCTGACTTGGTTGTGAGAAATTGTCAGAGTCGGAGATGCCACTGGTATTTTGAGAAAATAACTGAACATTTTTTAAACAAATATATAATAAGACAGTTAATAGACGTTTATTGTGATTGAACAGAGAACAAATGTCAAGAACAATAACAATTATTTTTCCTTTTTATTTTTAGCCTAAAGAAAATGACATAGATGTTTGGAATTTGTTGGTCTATCACCTGGAACAGAATGCCCTTATGTCACCTGTTTTTATTTTCAGTGAAAACAAAGGGATAAAAAACCCAGCATCCCTGAAAGTAAAATTTCCAAATGGCTGTATGACAAATTCATCCGTTCCATGTGAAAGGCCTATGTATCTAAAGAATTGTCTAACACCCATCAAATCTTAAGAAAATGGCAGCAGTTTTAATTTACCCAAAATATTGGGAAAAGAGTTTCTTGGTAGGATAAATGTAAAATAATCCCAATCCAAAGACTCCATTCCAATAAAACGATCTTTCTATTGGTGTCTTTCTTAAACGGTATTTCACATGTTTTGCGAGAAAAATTATCTTGGAAACTTTGACACTACTATTAAAGGCTTTCTATTTAAATCGCAAAGGCTCAAAATATACCACTGGGTACGTGATTAGAAGTTCTACAGTTCTCCGCCAAAAAAACCCCAACAATGTCTAGTGTTTATGTCCCCGATGAAAAGCGCAGAACAAAAAATCCTGAAAAGATCGTTCCCCCCCCCCCATTCACAAAGCAGTCTTTATTTAGAAGACTAGACTCTCTTTGTGACAATACTACCAGTCTGCAAAAGATCCAGGTCCAGTGTGTTCCTATTGACAATTTTCTATCCTGTCCAAGTTAATTACATTCAAGTCTGACAAGGTTGACATCGTTCTGTTCTTAATGCTTCACATACCCCCAAAAGAGAAGAACAATCCACCAAAACGTATTAATAGCATTTAAATTTCACATACAGTGGAACTCGGATTTAACGAGATGAGACAGATTCCCCGTTTTTTCTTCTTTAAAATCAATAAAAGTAACCCGGATTCAATTCAACGAGGTCGCTTCCAGGGTGAACAGCCCCCGCAGACGTGGCTTCACTAATTTTTCTCCAAGAACGAACTTTATCTATTCGCGGAAACCATCCATTGCACCTGCATCGCGAACCATTATTCACATAACCGATTGCATGCGACCAATCAGCGGAGTTTTAAAATACCAACACATGTGTGTGGGGGGGCACTGGCGGTCCGGGCGTTGAACGTCGCATATAATACAAACACGGCACTATCTTTTTTCCCCTCGGCAACTGATCATTATTACAATAATAAGCTAGTCTTGACGTAGATCTATGTAATGAATTGTGCGCTGGTCTATGGAATCAAAAGTTGCCGTATGCTAGGCTCTACAGAGCAACACAACTTAAAAAAAACAACAACCGAGAAGACACAGGCGTGTGTATTTGAATGAATCGGTCTTTTTAAAATTTTTTTATACACAGCTCAAAATGCGCAGGCCTTTCAGGCAATACGTGTGACTTCTCTTGTACATTACTTGCTCAGTGCCTGTAATTATCTACACAAAATCTCGTGTTTGCTATAACGAACACTCGGATTCAACGAGATTTTAGGTCAGGCCCGACGACCTAGTTGAATCAGAGTTCCACTGTATAAAAAACGACCAAACCCAAACAAACTTACTTTGTCATAATGGATTTCTGTAGGAGGGTTTTCCTTCAGTTCTGGGTCATCGTATTCATTGTTCACGTAGTAGCCAACTCGGATAAATTCTTTGCTTTTGTAAGAACAGGTGAGCAGTACGACAGTCACTCCCATCACATCGTCAACTGGGATCTTTCTTACATCGGGAGGATCAGCCTGTTGGGAAAACAAAATTATGCAGAGTAATACAAGGGGAAAAAAAGCCCACTGCAGAATGTGCTCCCTAATCACCCTGATTGCCAACACAATACACCAGAAGCCAGCACTGTTTACTCAGCAGCTGGGAACACTCAACCATGAAAACAGTTTGTTAAACTAAAAAGTGAATTCAGTTCACCAACACGCTGGTACTTGAGGATGACCATGCCACAAATTCAACGATAAAGACCATGAGCACTCACCTCAAATACAAACATGTGTTTCCCCCCTGGGACAGGTCCAACAAGGATAGTGTCCAGTACTTGATCATGGTCCATGCTTTCTGCTGAACCCACATAGATGATTCTCCACTCCAGATCTATTAGAGAAACAAAAATTGAGAAATCCATGACAATGCTGTGTCCTGAGGAGTGGAAGCACTGCTCTACCCCCCCCCCCCTGTTTTTACCCCATTCTCTCTCTCCAAGGGACAATTGAAACATCTTTCATACTACTGTCGACGAGTGTCGATATCACAAAAGCATGGGTCAACAATTTCGTAGTGCTGTGGGAGCATAGAGCATATTGAAGCGTGTACCCTTCCCGAACAGTCCAGTGAACGCCTTCCCGAACAGTCCAGTGAACGCCTTCCCGAACAGTCCAGTGAACGCCTTCCCGAACAGTCCAGTGAACGGTACGCGCCCTTAACACCAGCCTCAGGAAAAAGAATAGCTGGCAGGCACTACTTGGAATACTTGGATATGGTGATCCCGACTTTTGTGTAGTGTAGGCAACTGAAATATCGATACTGATTCAAATAGTCGGTATCAATGTTTTATGTTTTATCAGTAGCATAGATCTAAATCTAGCCTACAAAATGAGCAGTAAAATTTCACTTGTTTTTCACAAGGCAAGGGGGGTTGCCCCCCTGATTAAAAAAAAACCAACAAAACATGGGGTGTTTGAGTTTGAGGGAGGCATGCCCCTCTGAATTTGACCACGATTTTATGTTTTTTTTGTAATTAGGAGGTTTGAAAGGCTATCTCTCCGGCACGTGAATAAAAAAGTAATCGGTTAGACTTAGAACCAGAAGTAATCGTCGTTGGGGTCAAAACTAGGTTCTAGATTTTCTCTAGGTTATATTTCCCTGTCACAAAAGTCGGGACCACCATATCCAAGTAGTGCCTAGCTGGCAAGTCTCACCCGGGGACGCCGGGGTGAGGATAGCAACTCACTATCTACTATCTTAACTCTTGTCCTGCGTCTGTGCCGAGATGCAAATCTTCGCAGCAACCGATTACGTCGGACGTTCCGGGCAGGCCGCTGGGGTCACTCAGTGTGCACTGTTGGTGTAGAGCGCGCATGCTGGGAAATGCGTGTTTTCGCCATGAATACCGTGGGAGTGTGTTAATCGATGATGAAAATAACGCTCTATCTTTCATAGCTTTCTATTTATAAAGTGTTACGAACACATGAATAACCCTCTCTCACAAGCTGATAAGACATTATGAGTAGTCACGCCCATTTGAGTAACCTTTCTGGATGCTCTTGTTGTTATGAATGACCTGAGGTTCGAAAGGGGATTTAATATAGGTCAATTTCTGAAATGGTTTGCACTCAAATTGTTCTTTGTACTTGCACAATGGCCTGACAATGGTATTCAAAACTATCAAATAAGCGTATTTTTTAAAATCAAGTAGATCTAGATCTAGAATCATTTCATACAAAATCAAGCTCATTTGAAAGATTTTGTATAGAAAAATGGGTGCTTTTTCGGTAGTTCCCACCCCCCTTATTTGAGCCTGACCTACATCTAGATCTAGTTCTATATTTGATTTGCGGTGAGCTAAGATATCAAACCTAACAACTGCAAAACATTAAATTGTGGTAAAATTCAGGGGGGCATGCCTTTTGCGTTGGTGGGTAGATCAGCTTATTGTGCTCGAGTGCTCGGTGTTGTGCGTTCGCCTCTCTTGTTTGTTTTTGTAAGTGTTTTATGGCGCTCGCAACTGCATAAGGTCATATGAGCGCGCGGGACACACTTAACTTTTTCAGTTGGTAGGAAATTTTGATTTTTGCCCGGGCGGCGGCCGAAGCCTACTCTTATCGATTTTAGACCACCAAGGGATCTTTAACGTGCACAACCTGCACACGGGGCCTCCGAGATTTTTCGCCCTTGTCCGAGAAGGCTAGGTGTAGATCTTTCCTACCAGAAGATCAGGGGTGTGGCTGAAAGTAGTGAAAGACAGCAAAAAAAAGAAGCCAATGAGTAGCAGTAGAAAGGCTGCAGAAAGAATCAGGAGCCCAGAGGAAGGGGCAAAGGAGGTGAAGGGGGGGCAGAAAGAGGAGACGAAAAGCAGACGACAGAATATTGCTAGAGATTTTTTTGGTCGCTACCCGGATTCGAACCCGGGACCTTTGAATGAGAGGCGAACACCTTAACCTCCAGGCCACGAGAGCCCCTGTTCGCCTCTCTGTCCCTCTGTGTGTGTGTGTCTTTTCCTGACCCCCCGTCCCCCGATTTATGTTCCCCGATATAACGTGAATTTCTGCTTGAGTTTGCGACCTTCTACTTCCAGAATTGCCTGTGTTGGTTCTACATCAAAGTGTAGGCTAAGGCAGCCTAAGGGCTAGCCTAGATCTAGGCCTACGTCTCATTGAAAACACGCCAAGTTGGTATCGTAGCTCTAGACTAGTTGCTCGTCCAATGAAATTATTGAGAACAAATTGACCCATTACATTTCATTATCATACAATGCTGGAAGTGGCTATTCTCATCCGGGGTGAGAATAGAAATACGATCGACCTCTCACCCCGGGTGAGACTTGCGACCGTAGGCTATTCTCACCCGGTTTGAAACAAGACCTGTTTTTCCTAATTTCGGAATACTTTCTATCGATGCGGATGATCAAATTGATAAAAGCCAAGAAAAAATTACGTTATAGCACAAAAGTAAGCTAATTTGATCGTCTTCAAAGATGCTATGGCTATTTCACTGTTCGAATCGAGCCGAACTACGCGGGTCGCCATTTTGTTTTGCCCGGAAGTTCTCGCAAGATTTACTCCTCCCCTCTCTCTCTTTCTGAATACTGTCTATCGGTGTGGACGATCAAATTGACCAAAACAAAGTTAAAAAATGATGTTAACACACAAAAGTAAATTAATTTGGTTGTCTACAAAGATGCTACGGCTATTTAACTTTTCGAATCGAGCCGAACTACGCGGGTCGCCATTTTGTTTTGACCGGAAGTTCTCGCGCTACTCCTCTCTCCACGGCCCACAGACAAAATTGGGTGCTTTTTCGGTAGTTCCCACCCCCCTTATTTGAGCCTGACCTAGATTTCTAGATCTACATCTAGATCTAGATTTCTAGATCTATACGTTTGATTCGCGGTGAGCTAAGATATCAAACCTAACAACTGCAAAACATTAAAGGTATACCAACATTAAAATGGTAAAATTCAGGGGGGCATGCCCCCCTTTCTATTTCTATTGGAAGTGGCTATTCTCATCCGGGGTGAGAATAGAAAAACGATCTACCTCTCACCCCGGATGAGACTAGCCAGCGTAGGATAGTGTTGTTTTCAGACTTGACACCGCTTCACTCGGTGGCAATTGACAAAAAGTCAATTTTTCTTAATTGTCACCGCATCACTCGGTGGCAATTGACGCTACCTTACTTAAATTACAAACCTTCTGGCAGATCTTCCAGACATTCGAATGTTATTTCGAATTGAAAAGGCTTCAGGAATGACGTGGGGTTGTTCAACACTGTAACATCACAAATGTTGACAAGTGCCATTCTTCTTGAGAGAGCTCCGCTGTCGAATCCAGCCTACTTCAGGGATTATGAATAAAGAACTGGCTACAAATACTACTCCAAGAAGGCTTAGCTCTAATACCAGATGCCTATGAAGATAACTGAGGCTGAGTTTCTGGTTTAGTTGTAAGTTCCTCCGAGTTCGAGCTCCACTTTTTAGTTTTAGGCAGTCGGAATAACGCGCCAATCTTGCTTGCTTGCTACCACTGGGCACCTCCTACACTGGGCACTGGCGCCGTTCCGCGCAAAATAAACTTGGCGACGCGGATGGGGACAAAAAAAAATTGGAACGGGAATAATGTCAGTAGGCCTGGCCGAGTTTCCCAGCCAAATTGTATTGAAATGATTCTACTGCGTTTGCAATCACAACAGGTGTTTTTATAGGCAACCAGGCTTTGTTCCACTTGTTCACTTTATAAGCAATACACCTTTGTCAGCAAAATTACAAATGAGATTCTAATTTGATCTATAGACCTAACCTGAAGTTGTGATAAATCTGGGAAATTACTGTAAATTCAATGATACACAATATTTTCTCCACCTTAGGGTCCTTCAGGGTTTGACCCGGAAGTAGATATGTTTAAAACTAGGCCCCACAGCCAGCCACAGCTAGGCCTAGGACTGTGTTGTTCTTTAGTTCTCTTACATTGCATGCTTACCAATATTACCAACTATCATAGTCATAGCTTATTATTGTTTGCTCTTTCACAAGGAGGACTGCAGTGTCAACCCGAGACAATCAGATAATATAATTAATAGTCGTAGTAAGCAGGACACCATTCTCTAGGTAACCCTACTGTGCCATTGTCTTCTTGTGTCTTGTGCATGATTTTTGTTGTTAATTTTTCGCTTAAATCTAGTTTCACTTTCTTCACTATTATTATCTAGAATCTAGATCTAGATTAGATCTAATCTAGATTTATGAATCTTGATCTAGATTTAGATTCTAGATCTAGATCAGATCCTCCTAGGCCTACTTCCAACTTTCTAATCTCCGTCTCCAGTCTCCAGATACTGCGAGGGCGAGAGTGAGTGAGAAGGCCAGACATGTGCCTAAGCCTAGCCTAAACGTAGAACGGCGCAAACTATTTTTAGGTAAGGCGGCCATCTTGTGTGACGTCAGACCAGATACCCTTCCGATCACGTGACTACATGATTTAAACATGTATGGCGACCTCTATTCTCACCGGG